TTCTTAGTGCAATTATTTTTAAAATTGTTGCAAAAATATTCATAATAAAACATTCTCCAATTCAACAACTTCTACACGTATAATTCAGAGCCATTGATTATACTCTTCATGTTGTGCAACCATCATTGACATCCTTTTCCAAATTATTCCACTGCCATTAATCTAAATACAATGCACTCTGAGCAAAAACTCTTCCTCCTTCACCCACAGTAACCATTGGTCAACTTTGCTTTCGTTTTTTTTTAAACCTCTTACCTTTTTAATCAAGGATTTCAGCCTATAGTTTGGAGCTGTCAAGCAGTATCTGTCTGGTGGCAGTCTAGGCCCAGAATAAGGCTTAATCAGTGGTAAAGGGGTTTGATTTTTCTGTCGTGCAATATCCAGCAAAAACTAAAAAAAAAAACACCCCAAAACCATATTAGAACTAAAATTTCAAAAATGTTAAGTAAAAATAACTTCAAGTAAAAGTTTGCTCACATCTCTTGGGGGAGGAGAGGTAAAAGATTGGTCAGCACGACACTGGATTGCCAGTCTCACATCCTCTGCGTCAACATTAGGTTTCTTAGCATGACTTGAATAAATTTTTGCATCATCCAGAATTGTAGTCACATACCCTTTAAACACAAAACATTTTTTTCTTAGACATGAAAAGAGCTTAATATTTATGGCTATGTTCATAAAGGTCACACTAATTAAAGTTTATGAATTTTGGTATTAATATATAATTGCCCTAGCTATATGATCAATTTTAAACACATGATAGCATGAATTCCACTGTCCCCTACCTTGAGCTTATTTGTACTACTATAAGCAGAATTCTATTACTAGTTAAAATAATTTGTTTGCAAACATTACAATATAACCACGTCAAATTCATAGTTATGGGAAGTTTGGTGTTCTGTTAACTCACTGAAAGCAAATTCCAACATTTGGTTTATAACCCTGGGTTCATACTCGGTAATCCCCATATCCTTCAGAATCTGTGCCATCACCTGTGGATTCAAATAAAAAGATCATATGCATAATACACTCCTTGCTATCAAGTGGATTCCTGCTCATAGCAACCCTATATGACCAGGTAGAATTGCCTCCTGGGTTTCCACTGTTTATAGGAGTAAACAATGAAGTCTCATCTTTCTCCTAGATAAATAATATAGGCATTGGAAATCAAAGCTGGACTGGAGTTGCTTATTACATTTTGTCCTAGCTCTACTCTTGCATCCAAATGCCTACTCATCCTTTTCCTCCCACATCAGCTTCGTGAGCACATCAAATCACGGCAACCTTTTTTGGGGGGGCGGGGGAGGGGTGGGAGCGGGTAGGGAAATAGGGCAAACTAGGTCCAGTGTTGCCTTTCCCAGCAGAGGGGTGGGCACAGCTGCCTGTCATGTTCAGCTATGGCCAAGCCGGAACCGCGGATGCAGTCAGGGCTCAAGGATCGGTGAAAGTGGAAAATTACTAAGGTCGGAGGATCAAGTGAACACAACCTTGACGCCAACTTGCGCACTCCGGGAGAACTGGGTCCCCCCAGCTGCCGTCGTTTGGCGGGAGGGCTTCAGCCCCCAGGGCACACCGCCATTGTCCCGTTCTTCCTGGGCGTCCCGGAGAGGCTGCAGCGCCCGCCCCCAGCCCGCTGCCACGGCTCAGCTCCCGGGTTCCGAGCTGCACGCCACGCGCCCCATCCTGCCAACTTACCAGGGCATCTCTCGGAGCGCTCTTGGAAGTCGCCATCTTGCTCGGCTCCATGTTATCCTCGCTGACGTCATCCTGTGACGAGCAACAGCTGGCAGGCCCTGAACCCGGGCTCCACCCCTGGGAGGGGACACAGAAGGCGCGGACTGCAGCGCTCGGGGAGAGGGCGGCCGCTGCAAGCGACCGGAGGCGGGGGCCGGAGCGGCCACCGGAGGGAGCGGGCCCGAGCCGACGACGGCAGACCGCAGAGCCGGCCTTCTCCTCCGCTGGGCTTTCTCCAGCTGGGATGCCCCGTCGCCGGGAGCAAACCACGCGGAGGATCCTAGCAGCTCAGCTTACTGAGCTGTTCTCTGGGAAAGTGCACCGCGTTGACCGTTCTAAGCTGCCCGTGGCCCTTCCTCACACCTTCCTTCCAAGCATCCCCAAAGAACAAGAGCTGACCGCCCAGGAGTCAACTCACCCACCCACAGGAAGAGTAGATCTGCGCCCATTGGTTTCCAAGGCTGCCCATCTTGAGAAGAGCAGACCGCCATATATATATATAAAATATACACACACATATATATACATATACATATGTGTGTGTGTGTATATATATACACACACACATATCCACACACAAGGCCTATGGCTGCCATCTCTCTCTCTCTCTGTATCTATCTCTATATCCACACACACAAGGCCTATGGCTGCCCAGTACACACTGACGGGAACCTAAAGCCCGTGGGGCCTGCAAGATTCCCTGCCAGAATCCTTCCGTTCCCGGTCCGGCCTCTGAGCTTTGTCCTCCCTGGCCGCCGCGGCCCTCATAAGTCGTGATTGCGCGTTTTCCAAGGGTACTATTTGCCCCCTAGATGTCCCGAAGTGTAGTCATTTTGAAAAACCGTCCGTCTGGCCCCAGTAACTTTTGAAAATCGTGTATCAGTTAAACACCTATGGCTTCAAATGTCCCCCGAAGAACTCTTTAATTACCGCCCTCCACTCCACAGTCCACCCTCGGACGTACACCCAAAGCACCCGTGACTGCCCACGCGGAACGTGAACCCCAACAGCCGGACTCATCAAGGCTCCAGAAATAGGCCCTGAAAGATCCCGCCGCCTCCCCTCCCCCCTCCGCTTCGTTCAACCAGAGGAATTTCTCAGTAATAAGTCAAACCATTCAGGTACTTAAAATCCTACTATAAACTCTCTCACTGAAAATGAAACTCACGCCGAAGTACAGGTGTACTTTGGTTTTTGAGTGCCAGTTTACCTCATCTGAATCGGATTCCGATCGGTCAGCCATCTTGAATTTTGAGTAGTACTTCCTGGCGGAAGTACTGTATGCTAATCTTTTTTTTTCCAAACTAGAATTTTGATTCTGATCCCTGGCCTGGGACTCCTGTGGTCTTAAAGGTAGCCTTCTTCTATTTAAAACAAATAATAGTTTTCTTCTTTTTTAATAGTCAGTATATGCACAGGGTACAAAGTAGGATGAGATAGAAAAGAAATCTTGTTCTCCAGCCACTTACTTTCCTTTCATAAACGGACCATTCATTACCAGTCTCTTGTTTATGCAATTAACAAATATTACATATCTTTGTAACTTATTGTCTCACCCAAATGATTGGTCACTCTTGGGGTGACCAATGTTTAAAGAGCCAAGTTGAGCCAAATCTATGCTAGATGTAAAAACCAATAACACAATAAATAATAATAGGAGTTTTTTAAAACTAAGTACTTTTTTTACTTCATTTCTTTCTTTAAAAAAAATCATTTTATTGGGTGCTCGTAGAATTAAATACTTTTATTGGGGGCTCTGACATCTCATCACAATCCATACAATCATCCATTGTGTCAAGCACATTCTTACATTTGTTGCCATCATTATTTTCAAAGCATTTTCTTTCTACTTGAGCTCTTGATATCAGCTCATCATTTCCCCCCCTCCCTCAGTCCCTCCCTCATGAAGCCTTGATAAGTTATAGATTATTATTTTCATATTTTACATTGTCCTCTGTCACCCTTCACCCACTCCTCTGTTGTTTGTCCCCCTGGGACAATCCTTGTAATGGATTCCCCCTTTCTCCCCTCACCTTCCCCTTATCCTCCTGTTATCTCTGTTCTCATTGTTGGTCCTCAGGGGTTTATCTATCCTGGATTCCCTGTGTTTCAGGCTCGTATCTGTAGCAGTGTACCTGTTCTGGTCTAGTTCGATTTGTAAGGTAGAATTGAGGTCATGATAGTGGGGGGTGGGGATGGGAAGGAAGCATTAAGGAACTAGAGGAAAGTTGTATGTTTCATCGGTGCTATATTGCATATAATGGCTTGTCTCTTTTTGTGACCCTTCTGTAAGGGGATGTCCAATTGTCTACAGATGGGCTTTGGGTCTCCACTCTGGATCCCCCTCCCCCAATTCACCTTGGGTATGGTTTTGTTCTGGGTCTTAGATGCTGGATACCTGATCCCATCAACACCTCATGATCACACAGGCTGGTGTACTTCTTCCATGTGGGCTTGGTTGCTTCTCGGCTAGATGGCCGCTTGTTTATCTTCAAGCCTTTAAGACCCCAGAAGCTATATCTTTTGATAGCCGGGCACCATCAGCTTTCTTCACCACATTTGCTTATGCACCCATTTTGTCTTCAGCGGTTGTGTTGGGAAGGTGAGCATCACGGAATGCTGGATTATTAGAACAAAGGGTTCTTATATTGAGGGAGTACTTGAGTCAAGGCCCAATGTCCATCTGCTAAATAATAGGAGTCTTGATAGCTCTGTGGCTAAGCATCAACTCAATAGCTGTGGATTTGAGTCTCACTAATTCAATATAAAAATTAAGAATTTGAAGTAAGTCTTGTTATTTAATTCTATGGTTCAGAGCTGCTATTGTTTAAACTGTGAGTAGGCCTCAATTTTATGGCAGTGAGTGAATATTTTTTAAGCAAAAGAACAGGAGTAGTTAACAGTGGCAATTGATAGTAACTGATAGTATGACTAATTAATATCTGAAAAATATAATATTTTTATTACATTTCTGTCATTTTGCAGTAATTTAATTAAAATTTTGAAACTGCTGCATAGTAATATTTTGTAGGTCATATTGTGTATTCATAAAATTCATAAATGTAAGACTTTTAAAAAGGAGACTGTAAATATAGTAACACAGAATAAACATATCACCTATATTTAATAAAAATTAGCAAATATGTCTCTTTTGGTCCTGAAAGGTAGAAAGATTAGGGACAAATGGGGTTGTCTCCCCCCAAATGCCTGCCTAGGGGAAATCAGGGGTTGCAGGGAGGTCAGGCACCCATCAGACCCCTGTGGGAAAAACCTAGGCACGGGTAATGTGACATCATGCAGGTGCACCTGAACTCAGCCAATAAGGTCAAGCATGCCTCCCCAGTCAGTGGGGATGGGAGGGAATAAAAGGAGGCTGCAGGCAAGTCAGAGACCTCTTCTCTCTTTCAGGTGTGTGCTGCAAGCAGAGGGTGGGATCACTCCATGAGCAGGCAGGCATGCGCATGACCTCTCAGGGCTCTGCTCTTTTGGTCTCTGGGGATTTCCTGCTCTTGGTTCTGCGTGCGTGGTTTCGTGTTCCTGTTCCAGCATTCTTTTCACGTGGTTTTCCACGCTATCCTGAAGTGGTCATCTTCACTCTCAAAAACTCTTGCGCCATCCTTCACGGCCCACACACTTTCCAGAGATAGCGTGTACTTTTTGAGATGGTAATGCCTGAAATTTCCCTTTCCCTCATAAAAGTTACCCGGATTTACAAAAATGCTTCTGCCATGTGAATTCTTTCAGCGTTGTGAAGCAAGAACGGAGGCAAAATCAGAAACATAACAGTCCCATGATACCGTAGAGTAGTTTTTCTCTGTTTGCTTTTCCAGTAATACTTATCTGAACTGCCTCCGCTCTTCATAACATTCCTCTTTTCTTTTATGTAATGTATACACTGAATATAGACAAACATAAAATTCCTTTTGGTATCTGTTGTTATCAGGTGCACATTAGACTAATTCCTGGTTTATTCGACTTAAATATTCTTTAAACAAAAGCATTGCAGTATGGACTTCTTAGGCCTTTTACTTCCTAGTAACAGCCTCATGTTTTTAGATTTGAGGAATTAGTTCTCACCTCTTCAAAAATGTCCATCCATTTTATACTACTGACTTGTCTGGTAGACCAGCTGTTTTTCAGTCATTCAGGAGCTTTGTTTATCAAATAGCCATAGATCCCAACTTATTTGGTCTATTGGTCTACCACCCCCTTTTCAGAAAATAAATTACTCAGCACCACTCTGGCAATTAAAAAACTTTTTTTACGACAGCCCATAATCCAAGATTAAGTGGGGGATCTGCTTTTGCAGCCACCATAGGTCATTCCAGCGCCCCCTGGTGTCACCCACTTTGGTAAACACCGATGACCAAGATGTCCACAACTTTTGAACACTGAAGAATATTAGATATTACCATGAGGTAAATATCTTTCTTAGAGAAAATGTATTAAGGCAGAGAGGTAAAACTGAAAATGAAGTTAGATTCCTTATAAGTTATAATTTCAGTAAAGGAATGGACAAATGTAAATTATGTATATAATTTACCCTTTTAGTTTGGAAGTAGTTTTACTTCCAAAAATGTAAAATTTTTGTTTTTTCCCCCTGTATGAGGCTTTGATACCTAATATCAAACATTTGATGTGTCAGTTAATCCTTCTATAGCCTTTTTATGACTTTCAAAGATCATCAAAGAGTTTGGGAGAAACAGTATATAAATCTCTGTTTTATTGAAATCCTTTTCTTTGATCTCATCCTCAATGTATTTCCAAATTCAAAAAGGATGTTCTTTGTCCTACATTTTGTAGATAGGAATTTACAGCAGGCCAATATTTAACATTTTTTAAATGACCAGTACCTTAAGAGTACCTGTTCTTAAAAAGGTTCTCTCCTTACATTTTGAAAAAACATTTTTTGTTTGTTCTAAATTTTATTTTAAAGAAAGTTCATTTATTTAATTATTTAAAATTTCAGAGTTGATTTTTAAAATGTATTCATTGGGAGTTAATACATATATCATATCATTCCATAG